GTGTATTGTGTATAACTTTTGCAAGCACTGGAGCTTACATTTCAGTTAAAAAATCATACACGCAAATATAGGCGGAAAAATAAGTATGGGGATAGCACAGCTTTGTGAAGGAACCCGGAGTTTTTGACTAAGGGTTTCGATGTGGCCTTCCCCAATCTAAAGGTTTCCACCCTATCGATAAAATAGTTGGATAAACTGTAACGGTATGATTATGAGTTATTGAAAACTATTGTTCGCCAGGATGTTTGTGTTCCAAATGCGAGTATGGGCATATTTCGAAATTTAAGACTGTTGTAAATGTCGGAATTTAATGCAATAGTTTGATTGTTCTTTGGATGTTTCAAAATCTTATGGTCGCATGACAATAATGGGTTCCAGGCTGGAATGGTGTACTCAATGGGGATCGATTATTATGTGTTACCAAACATACGAACAGCATCGGCTTTAAATGGCACAAAGAAACACATTAGGAAACCAACATGAATTATTCATGCAGATGATATCCTGGAGCAGGCAATCGAACAACTAAGGCCGTTGGTATAGTTCAATTCAGGGTTTAAACATATCTACCCGTCTCGTCTCGTATTGCCTCGCAGCACAAGGGTTCATACATACGCATTTCTTTCAACGTGGGCCGGAAATTCGTTTGTATTGTGCCGACTCCTGTCACATGTTACATCCTTAGAAATCAACATATTTTCAAAAGTTCGCAATCACTCCAGTGGTTTTGTTCATTTTTGTGCAAAACGTGCTTTACATGAAAATTTTCTATAAAGTTAAAACCTCTGTAATATTCTGATTTTTTACTCATTTGCGCAACTTTCACCCTTTCAACCTGACAAAAGACCATTTACTTATCCGTTTGGAGTGTCAATTATAGCTACCCTCTCCCCTGGGGCACACAGTGTCGGGTTACTTACTGGTCATGCTAACGTACTCGGGGTGGTCAGCAAGGTGATCGGTTCTCGCTCGTACTAGCTGGGCAAATGACACATCTTGTTGTAGCTGGTTCATTCGGTCGATCGATTAGGAAATAACGGATTCATCATGTACTTGTTCAAAGCGTTTTGGAAATCAACAGAGAAACTTATGCTGTTCAATTTCTGTCTTAGAATAGCCACAGCAGTTTACAAATCCCAGTTACTTTAAGTGTTTGTGTGATGCTGTTACACCGTTCTGTTGGGTCGAAGATGGGCAGTATCCGGGTTTCTAAGTATGCTTGGTCTTGAAAATGCATTACCTTATGGTGAATATAGTTTAACTATAAAATTGAGTAAGCAATCGCTTACTTATACATTCACGATATCCAACTTTGTTCTCCTCTCGATCTGAATAACTTTCAACAGGGGACCTTGATAAAATGTGTACGGATCGAAATAGAATGGTTTTTGATGACAGTCTTAGACGAGGCATTCTTGCATTTTCATGGTTGAAGGAAAATTCTTTAACAAAAATGTGATTAATTCAAGGGAAAATAGCGAATTCGTGGTGCTGCAAAACGAAAGATCCTTCGGCTTCATATCGATCTTGAAAATGGAAACTATGTGTAATCGAAAGACTTCATTCAGACCAGGGAAATTTTGTATTTATTTATCCCTAATGTCCATAAAGAAGATGAGAATAACGGAGCCCCAGAATATTGAGTAGGTCAAAGGACACAACAACTGAGGAGTGGACGATAACTTTGATGTACGATTCATTCCACGGAGATAAGGATGGCTTTACAGGCTGGTTTGGATGCAGCCATTCCTTAGTCGGACTGATAGGAACTTCAGAATATAACCCACCGAGTTGTGCACTTATGCAACAGTCTCATATGCAGTCTGAAGTATTTTATAACCTACAATCTTATTCGTATACATTACTTTAGAAGAATTGGACGAGATAGCAGGGGTACAAAGATCCACCGTTCGTCCCCTAGCGCGGCCGCGTGGTACTAGTTAGGCTGAGCATACCGCAGTGTATTAGGGAGGAGAGAACTCATCTGTGTTAGACAAATTCTGTGGAGGATTTGGTACAGCAAATCCAAACTACCTTTTCTCTACGGGGTAGTTAAGCACTCAACGTCATCCATTGACCATGTTTAAGCTTTCATCTGGGGCCTTCTATTGAAATACCATCGCTGGAAACGGATCCCTAAACGATTAAATGATTTACGAGTGAGGTAGTTGAAGGGGACAAAGAAAGACGTATTCAAACTCTATGTTATTCTTTACGAGAAGGGAATAGCCCGGGAGTGAAGTCTTAACCAACAGAGAGGGGAGAGAAGAAGCATACATGATTATTTTTTTCCACCCTTTGAATCTAAATGCGCGAATAATTTTGAACACAGTTGTGATCATAGTTTCATAGCTTAGGATGATACTTTTCAATCCTACTGACGCACATTGCCTTAAAAGCCAAATATGAAAAAATAGACCTCTTAGTTCATTCTGTTGTGAGGTATTCTGATATACTGGAAAACAGGTTCATTAAATGGAATTATTGAATAATGATCATTCATAGGATGCATTTTGAATTGTTTGAACTGACCTCACATTTACCGAAGGAGTTGCTCCGGGTTGTGTTACCAATTCCATTATAGCTACAGAACTTCTCCCGTCGTCACTTGTACCCCGAACTTGCATCCGGTATTTCTTGTTTGGTTCCAAATTTTCACTGGGGAAACACAAAGAACCTTCAGTTGTATTTATTCGTCCAGGACCATCACCAAAACAACCAGCTCGAGGAATTGGGTAGGTATATCCAAGCGGCTTCGGGTAAACCAAATCTTCCGTAAGCTTTTCATTCTCTCCTCCGCAATACCAGGTCCAGTTGTTGATGCCCTATCCATGAAATACCATATCAAGACATCTATCAGATAGCGGAAGAACTTAGGAGATGACTCATGATCAGGTTTATCAGAATTTTGGTCCAACTGGATTTCCCCGATTATGGTGAATAGCTGTGTATTTTTCTTCCTGTTGAGCTGGATGCACCGTTGCCGTCAGTTGGTTATTAGAACCCACAAAATATGTTCCGTGTTCCGTGTTTGCCGTAAGGTAATTATGATAACAACTGAATGGTTACTGCTTCCTCTTCTAAAAATATTGAGATTCATTAATGTTGTTCTTCTGGCAACCAACTACTACGACTGAACAGCATGACAGGGGTTCACATTTGCGTGCGAACATTTGATTTGTCATGATAAGTATTCCGATTCCCATTTTATTAGGAGACCTCCAGTGTGTCATCTGTATGGCTGTTCTTTTGGTGTTAAAGTTTGAGCCACAGTTGTTTTCGAAGAGCTTAATCAATTCAAAAACCTGAAAGTTATCTGAATTAATCAAATCTGAAAACCACTAATTAAGCCCTCGGAATGTGCGCTTGTTGGGCGATCATCCCTCGGTGAGTACATAGACAATATACAATCAAACAATATGAGAGATCCAGAACATGTAAGTGTTGAAATATGTTTTAGCTGAAGCTTTACATGAAAACTTTCGCTGAGAGCTAATTTGACAGAACATGACCAGTAAATGCTGCAACGGAATTTCATTTAATTCTTCAAAAGATCCTATTCATTTGTCTCAAAATAGTTGCATAAAATGAAGAATGACGTTTACGAATTCTCAGCGTACCCAAACTATTTTCAGTTTCGAATTGCTTTACTAAAGCAATCAACCGTACTGATAAGTTCCAGACGAGGAATAACTACTTACAACATTTCAGTGACATTACTCCGAATGATCACTAAACTATGAACATACTCCACTGACAAGTTGTCGTTAATAGTTTATTGTTTTAGACTCTAGCGTTTACACTTAAACATACATTTTATGCATAACCCTTGAATGGTTTCTCGCATTTTCCGTGCGCTGGTATTTTTAAAAGGGACCATGTTGAATTAGAGCACAGAACTGCTCTGTACTGATTTCACAGGCAGCGCATCATGTTACTGGACTTAAAATTGTAAAATGTCAGCACCCTGAAATGTGAGCCTGCTTATTTGTCCCACATTTTGTAAAACCGAAGTACAATCAAGTCCTTATTTTATAAAGTAGTTCCACCACTAAGTGTTTTGAACAACTGATATTTTTACTGTGGTCCATCCAAATGCTGTTGAGCTAATCTTTGACCCAACAATTTCACAGTGGATGGGTACTCAATGGATTATTTGAACAATAACGTTTGATTGGACAAGCATGCTGAGAAATAAAACAGATTATGTTCAATAAACTCGAGCAGATTCCAACTGAAATTTCTCTTTTCCTATCGAAGAAGAAATGGATTTCGCGCGAAACCTGTTGCGTTAATTTTCCGAATGACCAATAGTTTGCCCAGGTGTTAATGAGGTCTTCATTTATGGCTATAGTTGTACGGGCTACAGCTTTTTCAGATAACAGACCAATGCATGCTCATACATTGATTGTCTCCCATTTTTAATTATGGGTATAAATATAGCCTAGATGTTTCATTAGCTCGCAACTGCCCATGTATATATTATCTCCGGTTACATCACACCTAGGCGCTTTTTACTTTGGGCTATCTTGCATTGAATGATATCTCTTTGTTTTCCAAAAGAAACGTATGTCACAAGTACCATCACTTAAATGTTTACTGTTAATCTTTCCCCAACTGTTTCCGGCAATGTATATATTTATATGCCCCTAAATATCTTGGTTTAAACTCCCCAAACAAGGCACACACAAATAAAACAACCACACAAGACATAACCGTTTTATTATTTCAATTATGCAGCAGAAATGCAGCCAATCCCCGATTTATAGTAAGCTACACCTGATTTGACATCATAACCTTGAACCGAATTTTTTGGATTGTCTTTAAAAGAGATTTTTTACCATCTGAGAAGCTCTGAACTATTTATTTACAATAATTCCCATGTCATTTTACTTTTCTATTTCGAAGAACGGAAATGCAATCTACTGCTACATTATTCGACCCATGATACACCAAATCCGTTGTTCCTGGATCGTATTATTTTCTGAATAGCCATTCCATCAACAAGGGGAAATATTGCTGATGCTATTAGCTGTGCTTACCTGTGGCATATTCCGGTCCCCGATCACCGGGTCGCTGGAATGTGACTGCGGATCAAAACAGATCACCGGTTTATCCAAACCAACGCTGATGGAGATGGGATTGCCCTCGTCAAATTGTACAATCAATGAGGGCGCGAGTTTGCTCAAATAGGCTGTCTTTTTAATTACGATTGGTGCAGGATCTTGGGAGCTTTGTGTGGACACATATATGTTAGCCGCATATTCACCTGGTCCAAGTAAACTGGACGGAATGACTAAAGTCATGGTTTGCACGTTGGGCAAAGTGGAGATGTCAATTTCCTTTATCGAACGCAATGTGTCTGGATCGATCTCTTGTAATGTCCAATTCATACTGTTTTGTCTTCCCAGCACACAGTTACTTGTGCTCAGACGAGCCTGTATAGTAGTCGGTCGATCGTCTTGTACCATTAGTGGAGTATTGGGAAATTCAATCCCTGTTTGTGCAAAAATGAGCTCCGGTTGAGAACACTGCTGTGCCGTAATTGTCACAAACAAGCTATTCGAAACCGAGGCAAACGGATTTCTCGCTTCGACCGTGATCAGATCGCTCCCGACTGCATCATATCTGACGGGAATAGTCAAGACATTTTTAATTGGCCTTTGGATAAATAGTTTATTATTTGGACACAGTGAACAACTTTGAGGTTTCTGACCATCGGCTGGGATAACCAAATATCCCATACTGTCCGATTTCGATACACAGATACACGTATCACTTGAAATCGCATCGAACGTGATACGCAACGTGCCTTCCACAAGTGGCTGAAAGACTGTAGTCGGAACAGACAGCTGTAGGCCACGCAGGGTTGTTGGTACCGTAATAGTTTTTGTTCGCATTGCCGAGGAGATCGGATTGGAACCGGTTGCATTAATTTGCACCAGCCCTTGCTGCAATGGAGATCGCGGAAAATATGAATTTAAGCATGAAATATTTAAGAAAAACAGCCCAAACGCTTTCAAGCCATTCGTATCGTATACAAAACAGACCAGAGCCATGAATGTTTTTTTTAACTTTTGACTATTAGGATATGGAAGTACTATATGGTCAAACTTGAACTCAGGTCAATTTTTCTGCTTGTCTATTAATGTTTTCAAAGTACCGAACCACGATGGCTCTCTAGCAAATAATACGATACAAGTGGCATTGCACTTCAGGATTATGTTGTACACACAGACACATATGAAGGAATGATCTTCAATTTCTCAGGACGCCTAAGAGCAGAAAAAAGAAAACAGGATTTCACGCTCAGACGTAACACAGGTGACTGAATTGTTTAACTATTTGACCATCAATCCAAAGTCGTTCATTGTGAATGCGACCGTTCTTTTTTGAACTATCTATTTGGTTCTCTATTGCTTGGATATTCCCATCACGACAAAAATGCATGTCTACAATGACTGATTCCATAACTTGGCACTCGTATTTTATAAGTGTAGGAGTAAAAACAGGTCACAAGCAAGCTTGTTTTCGATTATTCATCGACCAACTAATTACATCACCTTTTGTATTTACGGAAAGCGGAGGCAGGAGGAGAGGCCCAGGTAAGGTCCAGGTAGTTAGACATGTGAGTAAAGTACCTGAGGATAACTGTTATCCGCTCCTTGGTTTTTGTGTGGGAATTGTTTACCACAAATAATATGGAGTCACATCACATGATCAAGCATTGCATTGTCAGGACTGCCAAAAAAAAAGAAACCTCAACTGTGTTATCGTCATTTGTTCATCAATATTTTTTTTAATCTCAGAATCATTTGAAAACAGATATATTTCAGTTATTGTCTTACCAATGTATGCCTAATGGATTGACAAACACCTCCAAAAGTGTGAAGAAAAAGAACTTTCTTCATTGTGGCAAATAAAACGGACCTATTAAAGTTGAATCTTCTTTTCACCGAAATAGTGCATCGCGATACAGATAAACCATGTTTCAGTTAAGTTGGTCACTTTGATGTATTTTAATTTTATTCTAAATTCGGATCCGACAGTTATTTATTTTTGCCTGCCCCCCTCCCCCTAACCTAGCCATGTTGCCGGTCAGACGTCTATCGCTAGTCGAGGTTGCATCCGCCGAAGGCAACAGCTAGCTAGACGAAAATTGAATGTGATACCAACGAAAAAATTGATTGTTCTCCTCGCTGACACTAATTTTATCGGTTTAGCAAAACAGGCATGTCGAATTAGGTCAGGTGTACACGTCAGTGTAACGCGTGGATCAAATGACGGAGCAAAAGAACCACGTTATGACCCGAGCACGAACCTGAAAGAGGCCGCAATCTTTCGTGACAGTTCAACGGTAAACCACGTTGGAAGCAACGGGAACAAAACAAAAAGAGTTGCTGAACATATACAAGTCACAAAATAACAGCAGAGCACGGCCACTCAGCAATCATTGAAGATGTCGCCTCGACTGAAGATGAAAAGTTCACAATCAAATAACCAAGCTTAGTGAACAGGTAAAAATCAACACAGTCTACTCCAACTACGAGAACCGATTTCCTATACTTTGTAGATTTGAATGTTCACTTCGTCCGAATTAGTGTGATCTGCTGAGCTAGTCATTTTGCTCAGTTAATCAAAGGGGGTAATTCGATCTAACTCACCCGAAGTATTCGAATGAGGTTACCTCCTGTCTGTAGTTTTTTCCCTAATTTTGGAACCGTTGAACAGTGTGTTTAACAGCATGCTATCAGGTTGATACGGTGAGCATTATTTCTGTTCGAACATGAAGCGGTCTTAGACAATCGTTTTCATCAGTGTTACAGTCGGAATTTGCTAAAACATGTTTTAGAAAATCGAGTTGTTATAAACCAATTGAACAGTTAGTATAATTTTCTCTCCCAGATAAGAAATTCAACTGAATCATTGCTTAAGAGAGTACAACAAAATTGAACGAGGGAGTAGTTTACATGCGTCAATATCGTCATCATTGATGGTGAAATAAAGCTGCTAATCGAGTCATAACAGACGTAAAACAAAGCGATATAAAACAATAAAACATACCTCGGTAAAGGTGAAAACTTGATAATTAGATGATACCGGTGCCAGAGAAACTGTATTGCCACTAGTCAAATATGTTATGGTAAATGTGGTTTGTGCCACATTATCCGAGGCCCCGTCCGCTAGCACTGTGAGTTTTACTGCGACTCCAGCAGGGAACCGATCACTATTACAACCGTATCCCGGTTGACCGGTAGCGTTAATCGTCAACGTCAGATCCACTGTTAGGATGCGTCTAAAAACACCAACCTGATGAGAAGAGAATTGTTGTTGTTATGGTTATGATTATATATATATATATATATGGTTAGGTGAACTTGGGACGAATGTCTAGGGGCACAAGTTTGACGCTCGAAGAACTGCGCGAGAAAATGTTATCTTAATCCCTGTGCAATGATTCCATTCCTACTACAACTATCAAAGTTTTCATATCGACTACATGTGGCTGCTGCATTTGAGACTTAATTTTATCTGACTTATTTAGACCGTGTTCTAACCATAAAATAAATAAATACCACAGGGTTAACTGAGTCGCACAGCACTTAAATTGTCAACTTTTGGCGGAAAATAAGAATACATTTCAACCATATGCTATTTAAAATAAATAATAATAATTTAGTGAAAAATTTAGCCCATCCGATTGTTCAGAGGCACCAGGCACTCTTGATGTTCTTGGGTGTGGGTTTCACTCCATGGGAGATCGTTAATTCCCCACTGTGAAAAATGTTATTTTCCATTCAACAATCTTCAGGCAGATAATGAACAGAAGCACTGAGCCAGTTACACAATCGACCAACTTTGCAGCGGTATCCATGGTGTCTCAAGCTGGCCTGCCGTAATCAGGCTGTCGGTTCCCATGCCAAAATTCATTCAACATTCCCCTGTCAGAACAGATGTAGCTGCCAAAATAGCGGAAATTCTCTATTATCTATCTGTTGCATACAGCCCTTCTGTAAGGTGTAAAACAATCACCGAACACACCCGAAAAGGCTTTGCGAATAATTTTACAACTTAACTCAATTTTCATTCAAAAAGTTGATATCATTCGCTTGGTCCACATCAGCCAAGCTGTTGCTTGGGGTGATATCACTGCCGACATCCTTCCATAATTACAGAGCTGTTTCAAAAATAAAATTTATTACAAAGGAAAGAGTAAAGAGGACAACCTAGAATACCACCTATTTTAATTGTGCACTTGAATGAAAAAAGCCAAAACGGTCGTTTTGATTGATCTTTATTGGCATTCAGTGGCGAAATGACGAACGTTTGTGATATGCGCATTTGTATGAAGGACTGATCAATTAAAAAGTTGCACACAACCATAACTGAAGACCCCACCAACACATTCATAAATGAATTATTCAGGAATCCTAACCAAACGTCAATAAATACTGAAAATCAAGAACGAACTTTTGCCTAATGAAGCTCATGTTTACAGTATTTTATTTTTAATCATTTCTCCATGCAGTCGTGCAGCAGCAAAAAAATGAAAGGCAACTCACTTCACCTATTTTCTCGATTTTATTGACGCCATTAAAAATTGTCACATTCACTTTGTAGAGTCGCATCTGAGACAACGTGCGTGACACATTCAGAGGCATATCTGCGAAGCTTAGCAATCCTCGGTTGGCTTCTTTACCGTCACCCCAATCGATTATGTACTTAGGCGATGTAGGAAACTGATCCGCTGTGCCAGAGAATGATATCGTCACAGACGTGGTACCTATGTTTAAGAGAGACGAAGAGGTGAAGCCATTAACGGTTTTTCATCGACCAATTCAAGATGTGCTACAAATAAATTCAAATGCAATAAGTTATACAGCATGATCTTCTAAATCAACTTTGGTGGAACTTTCAAAAAATCATCTCAACAAAAAAAGAGCAATCAGATTGTGCATCAATACATATTGCTATCCTGGGTAGAGTAGATTATTTATTCTAAAAGTATTTCTCATGTTCATTTTATCTGTGATTGAGGGTTGATTATGTATCATTGCCTAGATAGTAACACAACGACTGACAACATTTTGCCCCCGTCTCCTTCACCTCTTCAAAAAAGGCCTCCCTTCACTCCTATGTTGTATATCAAAAAATAAATAAAAAGTTTATTTTTTTTAATTGCATAGCCGTTATTTGTGAGTAACAGATGCGAGTGAAGCGTAAATCAAAGTCCAGCCTGGTAACTTCAACTGTGGCACGATTACTCTAACGTGTATGCAAGTCCCGATTTGGTCTGAGACTGGTGGTATCATTCAAACTTCTGTGGATCTCATAACTTCCGTGCCGATTAATCCGCGTGCACAACGTTCCACAAGGTTCCACCATTATTTGTGTCCATTCCACCTGATCACGTGATATCAGACGCGGCACCGATCGAACGACGCACGCTTATTTCACTATCACTGCCATTTCGCATGGCACGTGATTGACCAGTGTGTGTATGTAGCATCTGACCGCATACGTTCGATCGTATTTCAGATGGAGTTTGATGATGAAATGAGGAGAAAATGTCGGTAGAGGTAAGCAAGAGAGGCAAATACATCGATCGCCTATTCACTCGCAATGGAACTAACGGTAATATTCATATTCGAGAAGTGGTTTTCTTTAGTCCATTTTAATATTTCCAAGTACCCTAATATTACATTGCTCTAAACATCTGTTCTTATTTCTGTACTGACCCCTATTTTACATGTGAAATTTCTCGTCAACAAACATATTTCACATTCAGAACCTCGGAGATATAAAGATTAGAGAAAATCTCCGTACAGGATGTGCACCAATTATGCTACACTAACATCACGTGACGACTTACCTGAAGCACTTTCTTTGATCGGCTCATAAGCAACATTCATCGAGGCTATTGGTTTTTGAACATCCACAGCCATGGTGCAGGTTTTGTTTCCCGTAGGGTGCACCGCGTTGATAACAACTTCACGGGTTCCCGCTTTGGGATACGTGTAATTTTGCACTTGAGTACTCGCAACTGAAAGGCAGATCACACAATACGTACACCTGATTCTTATTGCAAGACAGCAGATTAGTAGTAGATGCTTGAAAAAAGTGTGGATGAATTTCGGCCGATACACTTAACGAACCCTTTTTTGAGATAAAACGAAGTTGGATGTTCCCTAATACACAGTGAATTAAGTTTGCATCTGCTTAACGGAAGACAGTTAACCATGGCATGAAAGTAGTTCACCTTCTACCGTCGTTAGACGTTCTGTGTTCTGTTTGCAATAGTAGTAGTAGTAGCTATTGTTGTAGCATGCCCATCAGTCAAGCAAACAAGAAAACTCGGCGGTGTGTTATCGTAACAGACTTGCCTAAATCAAACAAATAGTTGTACGATAGGTGTTGTTTACCACGTTCAGGTACATATCCATCATTACCTCCTGTCGAGGATTAAGTCGATCCCGATATTTATGGCGTCGTCGCGCAATATAACTGTTTGCGAAGGGTCGGGCATATGTTGCAGCATCTCGACCAATTCTGCTATGCTGTACAAGGAATTGACCATTACGAAAACAGGAAGAACATAGATTGTCAGTGTTCGAACAATACTGTCTATGTCGCTTGTATGAGTCTGGTGGGGAAACCGGACAAGCAATGCTGAAGTTGGATGCAGAGTTTTGGTAATCGCTGTCGTCTACTGAAACAAGTGACGGAATTCCATAAACTGCTTTGTTTGGGGTGTGCGTTTCGCTTGTCACAAAATAGATTGCCGCGGCCATCGTCGTTTGTCGTGGCAGGCAGTGGATGGGAAAAGGTCGCGGTCGGCCGAAATAAGATCTGACAGGTGGGTATGAAAGCCCTAACCAGGAGACTTACTCACATACGCCGCTTTAGGCTTCCAGGATGGGGATCCCAGGATTATCGCAACCGGTGGTCAGAGAAACTGAGTGATATCGTTGAGGATCATAAACGGTGTCTATCATGTATCTATTCATTATGCCTGTTACTTTACATCTTTAAGTCTATTTTTACTGAATTCTCTTTTTTTCATTCTGACACTGATTTGAGCGTTACAATCTTCACTTTACTCCTTCATCCAATTGGGAGTTCATGAGACAGAAACCAAAAAATGGCGTACGAAATTTCATGATAAATGATTGTCAAAACTGCCAATGAAACGATTCCCGGACCAGCCAAGGTATTCGGATCTTCGAATCAGGTCATAGACTGAATACT